CATATTTTGCATCAATTTAAAACTTGGTAAGTTTTAACCATATTCCTTCTCCCCTTTTTTTAAATATTAAGCTATTAAATGAGTTTAAGTTCCTTTTTCAATTATGAGAGTCTCCATACTTTGGAGATTGAAAATATGCTCAAGGAAAAGGCTCAGTGTACTTATGTCCAGGTGAAGGAACTGTCCACCACTTACCACAATCATCAGCAAGCAAGTAGTAAAATGGTTAAGGAAGGAAACTATTTTGAAAATAAAAATTATCAAATGTTTCATTATTCTTACAGAAGTGTGTAGAAGTGAAAATAACTCAATGAACTCAACTCTCATCAGTTATTATAACCACATAATTTTAACACTTTGTCTCAAACTAAAGTTTTTGTTTGTTACTTTCTCAGACATGGTTGGCAGTATGACTAGGCAGCCTACCCGGAAATGGTGGTGATACTTATGTTTATATTATTAAATTCATCAATGATCTTGCCAACAGCTTAAAGTTGCAAAGAGAAGTGCATGTATATATCTGTTTAAATGTCAAAATTTCTTATATCAAGCTGGGGGGAATTCCTGCTAGGAAGAAGTATTATCAATAACATTTGGATAAGTGCTTAGATAGGATGGGTTTTAAATTTACCTTCCATTGCTAAATAGAAGAGTTGGTGAATATGGTTAATGAAATCAGAAATGCGTAACACTATTAACATAATTCCAATTTAATTTAATAAGAATAACTAACATTTACTGAATATTTACTAGGTCCTAAGTTCTGTTCTAATACAATTTAAAGGCATTACCTCTTTTAAATATCACAGCAACACTAGAAAGTATTATCATTATCTCCTTTTTACAAATGAGGAAATGGAGGCATAGAGAAAATATTTTCCTTATTTTTATATGCTCTCATTATATTTGGTAGAACATTCCACTGATTAACTTGATTTATGGTAAGATTCTATATAGTTATACAAAATGAGAGCTTCTGGGATGGAATGTTCAAATTCTGGCTCTGCTGTTTATCAACTGAGTGACCTTGGAAAAATTACTTATTCTCTCTATGCCTCAGATTCTCATCAGTATAATGATGATAACAATATTATTTACATCATAGGGTAAAAAGTAAATGAATTATTACCCACAAAGCACATATAATAATTCCTGGACTTTTATTTCACAGTAAAAGTCCAAAATATATTAATCATTATTGTTAATAAAATATTATCATAAAATTATATTTAAAGAAATAAGGTAAATGGGGGGATAAGGACACATATGTAATAACTTAATAAAGAAAAAAAAGAAAGTAAGAGAGATATTGCAAAGCAAGTTCAGAAGGGCATGGATTATTAGGCAGCAATAATTAAATCAATAATAGAAATGATAAGTCATTAAGTCAGAACTATAGGAAGATAAATGAAAGAGTAAAACTGCAGAAAATTATAAGGAAAGGCAACTTCCTGTTTAGGATAATAAACTAAACATATGTGCTTACCTTCTCTCTCTCTCAAAATATACCTGAAATGTCAGAAAAATTGGAGAAAGGGAATAAACCTGTAACAACACTGAAATTGGGGAAAGGATCATTAAGAATATCTGTAAGACAGACAATGGATGGAATTTTATTGAAGAATAAATCAAAATGATGGGTGGTATAGCAGTAAGCCACAGGGGGAAAGGAAGCCATTTTCCTAAAGGACCATAAGAGAGGCATCAAGTTTAGAGTTGGCTTATCCAGAGGGAGGAGGTGACCTATAGTATGGTAATAAGGATAATTAATAGAAATACCATATGTGGAAGAGATATTTGAGAAGGCATGCATCCATAACACAAAAAATAGGGTATTATGAAATTAAAAGACAGAAAAGTGGAAAGAAGAAAGAGAGGGAGGGTGGAGAAAAGAAAGGAAGGAAGAAATAAAGAATAACACTGAATTCTTAGAAAACAAATCAAATTTTTTATAGAAGACTGAAAGAGGACATGAAGGTGATCTATAAGTATAAGGAAGTAAAAGATAGAAAAAGATGAAAATCAGAAAATATAATTGAGCAATATAAAGGATCAGTCATGCAGGTCCATGATCATTCTAAAAGGAGATTTAGGAACAGAAAATAGAGAAATAGCAGAAAAGAAATAGCAGAAAAAAACAAGTTTTCTAACTGAAAGGGCCTACTGAATGCCAAGTATCTATCCTACATAATAAAAGCCTAATATGCTAAGTGTCCAGTTGTCCAGTTGTATATTCAACCAATCAAAGCGTAATATGCTAATGATATGCTAAGCTGCTCAACCACTCGCTATGACATGCACTGACCACCAGGGGACAGACATTTGACTGGTTGAGCAGCTGCTATGATGTCCACTGACTACCAGGGGGCAGGCACTACAACTGGTAAGTGAGCTTGCTACTGGGGTCCAGCCGATCAGGAGTGAGCAAGATGGGCTGGACATGCCCTGAAGCCCTCCCATGGTCCCTCTCTGGATGGCCAATCTCCCACATCCCTCCCCGACCCCGATCGTGCATTAGTGGGGTCCCTCAGCCTGGCCTGTGCCCTCTCGCAATCCAGGACCCCTTGGGGGATGTTGGAGAGCAGGTTTCAGCCTGATCCCACAGGCCAGGCCGAGGGACCCCACTGGTGCACGAATTCATGCCTCTTTTATATATATAAAATCCTAAGCGGCCAGTCGACCGTTTGACCGGTCACTATGACATGCACTGACCACCAAGGGGCAGAGACTCAATGCAGGAGTTGCCCCCTGGTGGTCAGTGCACTCCCACAGTGGGAGCTCCGCTCAGCTGACCAACGGGCACCAGACACCAGGCTCATGGTTGGCCAGTGCAGCTGTGCCAGCACAAGTCTCTCCTGCCTCTGCAGGAGCACTACCAAGTGGAGGCAGCAGCAGGTGCAGTGGGGCCAGGATGAGCAGGAGGGGCCAGGATGAGTGTGAGTGGCACGGCGCCCAGCCCAGGCTCGAGTTCCTCCCAGCCGCCTGCCGTTTCACACACTATTACATTCCTTGGGGGATGTTGGAATGCCAATTTCATCCAACATCCCCCGAGGGGTCCTGGATTGAGAGAGGGTGCAGGCCAGGCTGAGGGACCCTGCCAGTGCACGAATGCATGCACTGGGCCTCTAGTATTAAATGATATAAAATATTCTCATGCTCAGATTTTATTCCAGTGAACTACAGAATAGGAGATTAACAGAGAAATACAAATCCTAAAATAATTCTGGGAGAATGAACACAGTACTAACAAATATGATATCAGTCTTATCAAAACCACTAAATAACTCCAGATGATGTAGGAGATATTGAGGAAGAGGTTCAAACATTCATCACACATGTTTATACAAAGACCAATTTACATATATTTTCTCAACATTTGTCTTTTAATACTTAGAAAGGCACATCTTGCACATTGGCCTCATGAGTAGAAATTCTCACTTTTAAGATAAAGTCCAGAGATCTATTGTTCCCATGTATTTATCTGTTATTGTTTTTTTAAAATATATTTTTATTGATTTCAGAGAGGAAGGGAGAGGGAGAGAGAGATAGAAACATCAATGATGGGAGAGAATCATTGATTGGCTGCCTCCTGCATGCCCCTACTGGGGATCAGCCCTCAACATGAACATATGCCCTGACCAGGAATGAAACCATGACCTCCTGGTTCATAAATCAACACTCAACCACTGAGCCACACTGGCCAGGCTCTCTGTTCTTTAAATAGGACAATGCAATCTCTATTTCCTGGCATTGCCTGCACCAAATTGTGATATATGCCCAAGAATAAGGTCAGCTGAGAAGACAGCAAGGATAAGAGATAGCCTGGCCAGTATTGCTCAGTGATTGAGCATTGACCTATGAACCAGGAGGTCACTGTTCGATTCCTGGTCAGGGCACATGCCTGGGTTGCCCAGGTTACCAGGCTCAGTGCCCATCAATCATTCCCTCTCCTCATTGACGTTTCTATATCTCAGTCCTCTCTCTCCAAAATTAATAAAACCATATTTTTAAAAAGATTTACTCAAAATAGATAAAATTTTCAGTAGAACAAACACCAAAGCAAAATACTGAAAAGTTATAACAGAATAGCTTCTCTTAAAAATTCCCTGGAATCAGATAATTTTATGATTAGGCTGGCAAATTTTCAGGTTATCTGCTACATTCATTTTCTCTCACCATAAACAAACATGAAATATTAGTGAAATCATTCTATGTAGCTTACACTGTCCTATTAATTTAAAAAACACTGAAAAAGTTAAATTGAAAGATAACTATAGATCCAATGTAACCTAGCTCACTCCTAAATACAGAAGCAAAAAGTATAATATAGATCTTCTAGCTACATATTAGTACTTGACCCCATGGGGCCAGCAAGTTACACCAGTTCTGAGAAGGGAGTTCTAAGAGTTTGAGAACCACGACACCAGCAACATAATAACAAGGGAGGTGCCTGACTTCCTATGTAAATTAACAACAGAATTAAGTGGCCTAATGTAACCGATGCAGTTTAACTATTTTAGACATGTTCAGTAATAAATAAATAAAAACCATGAAGAGTGAGGTAAATGTATTGTCAAAGAGGAGGTAGTGTCGCAGAAATTGACACTTCCTGTTTACTAGTACCACTGCTTATCTGACTATAGTCTAGATCTAGGACTGATAGGTCATTTGTAGAGTAATGTGGAGTTTCCATTTTTTTCAAGGTTAAAAGAGCTTTTCCTACCCATAGACTCCCCTTTGTTTGACAAATGAGGGAACTGTGCTTCAGAGATTTTCATGGCTGCCTAAAATCATTGGATATTTAGAAGGAATAGAAATGTAAGTGTATACTAAAGAATTTATATTTGCATTTTTTAGCTTTCCTTAATAGTCTCCTCATAATTTATCAGTTAAGAATAAATTATTTAATAATGTATTTCACTTAAAACAACCCCAATTAATAGATTATATTTTATTATATGATAAAAAGCAAAGGATTTAGAGAATAATGTAACTGTCACCTTCTTATACTGTCTGGAACAGAAAGACAATGTGGTCCGTCAGGCCAGCCGAAGAGGCTGAACCAGGTCTGAACTGCATTTACAATTTTCTGAATGAAGTCATATGCCTTTGTTCCTGGATCAGGACAGAATTTCTTATTTTCCTCCTGCTTTTCCACTGATTTATCTCCTTTCTTCTTCGGCTTTTCACTTTTGGGCAAGTTCATTTTTCCAGGTGTTTCTTCTATTCCTAAAATTCACGTGTGTTTTTTTTGCAAAAAGGGTTATTTGACCATAGAGTAAAATATTCTGTCAGCTATTGCAATTTGTAGGTAGACAAATAGATCTCATTCTACAAATTATTCTATGCAATCAAAGAAAGTCTGATCCAACTTACTGCTATCTATACTAATAAAAGGATAATATGCTAATTAGACTGGACGTCTTCTGGACAAAGCCACAGCTGCTGCGAGGGGTGAGGGCCGGCAGCAGTGGTGGCTGGGAGGGCCGAGGGCCAGCGGTGTAGGAGAGGCCTCAGCGCGGGCCGGTCCAGCACCACGGCCCCTTCCACAGAGGCAGTGGGAGAGGGGGCTGTACGGTCCCGGTCCCAGTGCTGCTCCTTCTGCAGAGGCAGCCACAGAGGCAGCAGGACGGGCCTGGTCCTGGTGCCACGCCTCCGCAGAGGCTAGATAGGGTGCGACCTGCTGTGCTTTAACCTCCCACAGCTCCTCCCCTAGCTGGCCTGGCCCCAGATTGCCCCTCACCCACCAGTGGGTGGGGGCGGGGCTAGTGCTAAGCAGGGAAGGTGGAGGGCTGGCAGCCGCGGTGGCCAGCAGTAGCAGGAGCAGCAGCAGCAGGGTGATGGGGGTGGCACCTTCCCCTAATCAGCCTGGTTGCCTCATGCAGAGGGAGGCCAGAGGCAGCAGAAGCTGCGGGGTAATGGGGGCAGCACCTTCCCCTGATCAGCCCCGTTGCCTCCTGCAGAGGGAGGTCAGGCTGCAGCTTAGGCCCGTTCCCCCTCTGCCCCTCCCATCAGTAGGACATCCCCTGAGGGCTCCCAGACTGTGAGAGGGGGTAGGCCGGGCTGAAGAGTACCCCCCCTCCCCAGTGCACGAATTTTCATGCACCGGGGCTCTAGTCTTAAAATAAAAAAGGAAAATCATTTATTTTTAAATTCCAACAGAAATACTTTAAAAATAGATGAATTACAATAAAAAACATTAAATTTTTTTCCTTTCCATAATTGTATGGGAAAACACACCTCAAAATGGAACCTTTCATTTTCAATTATATATGTAAAATATTTTAACCATTATTAGGTTTATTTGTTAGACAGAATTAAACCTTAGCTGAAAAACTTACAGAAACAAAATACCAGCTTTAGATTCAAAGTGACTTTCTATCCAAGTGAAACCCACTTCAATAAGCCAAAACATTTTTAGTTAATTCTTGAGAAATTTTCAATAATATAAAATGGTATGATCATACTTAAAAAAAAAAAAAAAACTATGCAAGGGCACAAGCACAACTCATTCAAAAACCCCACAATAATTCATTTGGTTTGGTTCATTCAATAAAACAAAAATTTTTCAATACTACCCATATTCAGAGACAGGAATATTTAAATAGATAATTGCAAGTTTGCATATTTTTCTGTGCTCACCTCTTTCCAAGATAGGCAACATTAAATCCCAGCTAGGTAATTAGCAGACAAACCCTAGTTCAACAGTTCCCAAACTGGGGACAGAGGGTACCTGGGATGCCATAGCAAATTCACAGGGGCTTTGCAGGATATTTAGCATCTCAATTAACATTTGTTGGCTATCACATATACTACTACTCAGTGGTTTTTGGATCAAACCACTTAAGAAACGGAACTTCCTAGCACATCTTTTGGCCTATGGGAAAACTCTGAGCTACTAAGTGTACTATGAAGCAAAAACATTAGAGAATCTCTTCTTGAGACCATTGGCGAGACCTCCCAAAGCAGATGACCCACTTAGAACTAACGACAATTCATGATTTTCTTCTTGTATTTCTTATTCCCTGATAAAAACCAAAGCTTTAAATCACATAATATTAAAGAGATCATGTTACAGAATGGGTCTGAGTGGTACACTATATATTTGCCACATACCGATGAAGAATCTCTTTGCAGGATCAATCTCCTCACATTTAGATGGAGCAGGAGAAGATAATCCATCTTTTTCATAGGGAAGCGAAACATGTTTTGAAGTCTTCACAAGGCTGGGATCCTTATCTGCAAATGCAACATTGCATCATAGTAAGCCAAACAAGCGTTTATAAATTCATTATTGAATTTAATTTCAAATTACTGGACCTAAATATCATAATTTCATATATACAATACATAAATATGTATATATGTATATGTATATATACATATATATTATATATACACAGTACAAAATAAAAGAAATAAGCCTAAATGTCCATTATGTAAAATGTCAAATAAGATGTCAAATGTCCAAGATGTAAGATGTCAAATAAGAAAAAAATAACATAAAAGGCAATATGGTTGTCTGAATCAATAAACTTTGCTTGATAAGGAAATTATTATGGTATATCAATGATTTTGGAGAATAAACAATGCTCAACTTTAGCATAAACTAGGATATACAAAACATTTAAGTGTTTTTTACACCAAAAGTTTTGAAATTGTGATATATGGTGCTCAAAAACAAATATAAAGAAAGTGTGTCACTAACACATGTAATTTCTTCCCAGCTATTTCTCTGAAATGAAATTACTGCTCCCTTACGAGCTGACACCATTTTGCACAGCCTTCAATATCTAATTCCAGTTAGAGTTTCTGTCTATATGAAAGAATTTGCCACCATGGTAATCTGAACCCATCCAAAGGTAATGCTGACCAAGAAAAAAGCAGTAGATGTGACTTACGGTAGATTATGTATGTATGTATGTATCTATCCATCTATCTAACTGTCTGTCCATCCATCCACATGTGTCTGTATGTATGTGTATCTATAGATATACATATATTCATAATATAATTCTATCAGAAAAGCATAGCCTGTACAGTTACAAAGATCTAATTTGAAAGCTTGATACTATAACTCCTGAGCTGTTAAATCATGAGTATATTATACAAGTTCTCTGCAACATATGTTTTTATTCATAAAATAAAACCAATGGTTCTGAGCTCCTGAATCTGTTTTGAGAATTATTTTATGAGCAATAACACATACAAATATGCTAACATATACTATGTTCCTTCCATTTTTTCAGTACAAAGACAGTTTAGAATTTGCCAGAGAACCTTTATCCAGTAAGTGTGCATAGCTCCAGAATGCTACACAACTATAAACCACAGAAGTGAGTCTGAGAGAATTTAAGGATAGAATGAATCATCGTGTATGCATTTGACAGTGTCCTTTCTACTTACCAACTCACTTATAAAAAGTTCCAACTTGGATACAAACCCACATCTGTATCCTTCAAATTATGTTAGTGATTCTTATAATAGTTTTTATTTAGCATATTAGCTCTAACAAGTAAATCATGCTGCTTTACTTTTGGATATACTTAATATGTTTTAAGATTTCACCTTTACTGAACATAATGTACTCTAGAGCACTGTAGCTACAAAGTGTGAAGCCTCTGAGGTCTCACAAATTTGGTTAGTATTCCCTGGGGCAAGTTGCTCAACCTTTTATGAGTCATTTTCCTAATCTGTAAAGTGAGATTAATAAGAGTATTGAACTCAGAGTTGTTGAAAGGACTAAATGAAATAAATATAAGGCCTTTAGCAAAGCACCATATGCCTGAAAAGCACTAAATATATATTATAAATTATTATTATAAATATAGAATATCCCCCAAAATGTATATAAACAATGTCTGTAGGTTCTATTATATTTTGAAAATGAAATGTATTTTAATAAACACTGCCTTTATAATTATTCAAAGTGTATATACATTTTTGGGACACCATATATTTATAAAGATACATTAGAAGATTTAAGAATCATGATGTCTTTCTAGAATAATAATTACCCAAATAAATGCAGTATTTTAACCAATATACTTCATACTCAATCATCCTGCAAACACAAGGATATGATTTTTTTTTCTTTTAAAGAGATAGCAATATTTTGTATAATAATTCTTCATTATTTTGGGTAAGACATTATTAAAAGTATAAAAGAGTAATAAAACAATAAAATAATAAGTTGTAATAGCAATAATAATGAAATAATAATAATATTTCCAGGTATTTATAGTCTCTGAGTCCTCAGAAAAGCCTTTTGAAATAAGCACATATTTTTAGTACACTGCTTCTCCCTCACCATGCACATTTTGTTCAATACAGATGTTTGAGGATATGAGAAATAAAGATAAATTCATATGGCAAGCCCTGGCCAGTGTTGCTCAGTGGTTGGGCATTGTTCCATGCACCAAGAGGTTGGCGGTTCTATTCCAGGTCAGGGCCCATACTTGGGTTGCAGGCTTGATCCCTGATATGGGATTGTGCAGGAGTCAGCCAATGTTTTGCTCTCACATCGATGTTTCTCTCTCTTTCTCCCTCTCCCTTCCTCTCTCTCTAAAAGTCAATAAAAATACTGAAAAAAAAATTTGGCAAAATGGTAGGTTAACTCACAAAATAGAATTTCCACCCAGGTCTATGCCTTCATCCATTGCTCCTTCTATGGTGTGTTATCTAAAATCTCTGCCCAGTGAATTAGAAAAATATAAAAAGTAACATCAGGACTAGGCAGAGAGAGAAAATAGTCAACAGTAGAAACTGCTGCTGAGTAGTGAAGGTACAACAGTGTAATGGAAGAACACTTTCTTCCTCACCCCGGACATTTCCTTCCTGTTAAAGGAGCTGAGGTACTCTAAAAGCCTACTTTCCTTTGCTATTTTTTATCCCTCTCCCTGAGAAATTGAGTGGTTCATCTGATTGGTAAGTTTGGAAAGACTAAATCAAGCATGTGTGGCCTGAATTCATCCTTTTCCCTTTGTGAATGAGCCAGTTCCCTGAGAGAATGTCATCTCCTTTCCTCCCAGTTGTCATCCTGCACACTCCCCCAAAGCAGCTAAGAGGGAGGCAGAAGTTGAAGGGCAAGAGTAAGCCAGGTTAGTTGATTAAGCAAGATCATCAATGGCCTAAGTCAGGAGAGAGTCTTGCCTCTGAGCTTTGTGACGAAGAGATAATGGGTTCTGATGCATGCAAGGCATTTGGAAGTTCAGAGTTCCTGCCTGATGGTCTCTATTTCTTCTGTAAAGTCAGAGAAAAGGTCATTTCCTGTGACTGAGGAAGAACAGTATTGAGTGTTCATAGAAATGATAAACATTTGAAGAAGCAAGTGAAGAATATGAGAAAATTTGTTAAAAACACAGAAAAGACCTCCAACTCATTACTGAAACTTAAGGCCTTGACAATCTATTATACAGAGGGAATTTTTCCCATTCTCCATCCTTTCTCATCCCCTTAGATTTACTCCATCCATCATTCTCTTCTGTGCCTTGTATTTCACATCTCTCCCAGCTCAGCAGTTTCTCATCCAATTGTTTTTATATTTTCTCAACATTTCCTCTGCAGTAACTCCCAGTGAGTCTACTGACCACTCTCCTTCTTGCCGGAAGCTGGTCCATCCTTGCTGCTTGACATAGTCACTGCAGGAAAAAAACATCTGTACAGCATATGTGTCAAAGGATCTGGCGTATATGGCATACTGTTCTTAATATGTTTGCTCCCCTTCTTAGAGCTATGTGTTTTAACCAAGGTCACCTCTCTGAGAAAGGTTGTTTCCCCAGGTGGGGATTTTTTCCCTGGAGTTAGGGATTAACAGGACTAAGGAAGAGAATAAATCAGTGAAACCCCCTAGTGTTACAGAAATACCATGTACTACTTATGAAGAACTTGGACTAAGACTGTCGGCAATAAATTTGGGACTTGTTGGGCCCACATCCCCAGGGTCTGCCCACCAGGGAAAGCACCAAAGCCTATACCCCTGGAGACCCACCGACACAGGGCAGTCCCAGGGAAGGCAAGCAGCGAGGCTGGGAGGACATAACCTTTACTGGGTTGGATAATCTCCTTCAGTCACTTCCTTGTAGTTTATCAGTAGAGCAGTGACCTTGGAATAGCCCTTATAATGGAACACAGAGATTAACCTAGACAGGATTAAACTCAACAGAACTAGATTAACAAACTCCCTAACCTTTGGAATAGAATGGATAGGATTAAAATCAACTGGTATAAATACAGATGTAACAGGACAATAAAGACCGAACCTGGCTGGAGAACCTGGCTAGAACCTGGCTAGAGAACCTGGCTGGAGAATCAACTATGCTGATCAACTGAACACTGTCTCCATGTCATTCCTTCTTTGCCGACTCCATCCACACCTTTGGGAACCCCTGGACCTGTTGGAGTTGGACCCCAACACCTTCTCAGTCTGATTCATTTTGCATCCCAACAACTGTTCCCTTTCCAAATCACTGATACTCAAAACCACAGATGGTTCCCACTATAAGAGAAGAAACGGAGTAGTGGTGTGGCTCTGCCCCTACAGTGCCTGCCTTATATCTCCTATCACACCCCAATGCTTTTGCTATATAGTCCTTTGCCTCAATCATCCTGTTCAAGATCATTATTTGTGAAGCTCTACACAAACATCATCTCTTCTATAATGTCACCCTAGGCCCCCAACATCTGCATTAACCTCTGCACCACCCTCACATTCCTAATATTTCAATTCACTCATGCACTCAGCTCTTAATTCTATCCTGTTTGTATTAATTTATTTATGTACCCCTCACTAAATTGTCAACTTTTGGAATTAAGAGTCACTATCTGCCCTAGCCGGTTTGGCTCAGTGGATAGAGCATCAGCCTGTGGACCAAAGGGTCTCTGGTTTGATTCTGGTCAAGGGCACATAACCAGGTTGCAGGGTCCTCCCCGGCCTGGGCAGTGGTCAGGGCTCATGCAGGAGGCTATCAGTTGATGTGTTTGCCGCACATCGATATTTCTCTCTGTCTATCCCTCTCTCTTTCACTCTCTCTAAAAATCAATGGAGCCCTAGCTGGTTTGGCTCAGTGGATAGTGTCGGCCAGCGGACTGAAAGATCCCGGGTTCCATTCTGGTCAAGGGCACATGCCTGGGTTGTGGGCTCGATCCCTAGTGGGGGGCATGCAGGAGGCAGCCGATCAATGATTCTCTCTCATCATTGATGTTTCTATCTCTCTCTCACTCTCCCTTCCTAAAATCAATAAAAAATATTTTTTTAAAAATCAGTGGAAAATATCCTCAAGTGAGGATAAAAAAAAAAAAAGAGAAAGAGAGAAACACTGCCATATTCAACTCTCAATACTAAACATGGCTCCTGGTAATAGCAGGAGTTTATTAAACATGCGTTAATTTTCATTTTTTTATTTTCTTTTTTAAAATATGTTTTTATTGATTTTTCTGAGAGAGGGGAAGGGAGAGGGAGAAAGAAAGAGAAACATTGATCATTTGCCTCCCCTATAGATCCTGACCAGGGACCTAACCTGCAACCAGGGCATATGCCCTGTCTGGGAATCGAACTGGTGACCTTTTGGTGTATGGGATGATGCCCAACCAACTAAGCCACAACAGCCAGGATAATATCTGTTAATATTTAAAGTCACTTTCCTTCTAGATGTTAGCCTTGGGTAACAAGAACCAACACAGTGATAGAGAGAAAACAGTCACATGCAACTTACCATTCCTTACAGTAATGTTTTCCTCATCAATATGAAATGCCATATATGGGTAAGTAGTAAGAATGCAGTTTTCTGCTGTTGCAATAACTGGAAGTGAAAACCTAAAAATGAAAATATTGCATGTCAATAAAATAAAATGTCCAGATGCAGTAAATGCACTAAAATACTTTAAATATCCTGGATACCTTTAAGAGTCAAGACATGAATCAGTGATTATTTTTCTTTCCACCTACTTTGCTTTTCTTAACCACCTACCATACCTATTTTAATGGTTTAAAATTTTTTTACTTTTAAGCTTCTAACAGAGAAGGTAAAGTTCATGTCTAGCGTGCTCTACAACACAGCCAGTAACTATTCAGGTTCATAATGAGATTCAAGAAATGTTAAGAGTTGAAGGAGCCTAAGAGTTCATTTACATAACTTCTTCTTCTATAACATCCCTGACAAATGGTGTCTAGTCTCCGATGACACTAGTAGGGAGACACTACTAGAGTGACACTCACGACTCGGAGATGATCCATTTTCTATCTGGAGAGCTGTAGCTGGAGACATTCTGTTTCCGAACAACAAGGAACAAAATCTACCATCTAACTCCCATTACATTTCTTCAAATATTTAAACACAGTATATCTTCTCTAAGGTTTCTCTTCATAAGACTGCCAACATTTAGAATGGTCAAGGATTTTTTGAACTGCAATGTCGCCAAATAGTTCTCAAACTGTTTAACTTGTTTAGATGAATTTTTGCTTTGTGTTTGTCCTACTTTAACTGTGTCTGATAACTGAAACAATACTGCAAAAGTAATTAAACCAGTGGAGAGTACTATTACCTTCTATAACCTTCACTCTAGTTTATGAAAGCATTGCGAAAGTGCCTTGTTATTTTTACCAGCCACAAAACACTCAGGGTATATTGGGCCTAACTTATGTAACAACTCTATCTTGTACAACTGATTTTCCATAGAAGTACTATATTTAATACCTTGCCACTGTTACATTGCCTTATTGGTTTCAGTTCTGCATTACAATAGTATATCAAGATAATTTTACACTTGAATCAGTCATGTACACACACACACACACACACACACACACACACACACACCATATATCTTCCTCCACATCCGAACAGCCATCACTGCCTGAGTCCTATTTGATCATTCTCCACACTACTAGATTCTAGATATGAACCTACTATATGCTAGAAAAGGTAAAACCAACAGAAATCTAAGTTATAAAAAAAGTCAAGTAAGAACATTATGTCTGCAGTAGAGAATAACCAATAAAATGCAAATTATATTTTTACAAACCATAATTTTTATATTGAATCGCATGTTGACCACATATAATTCATTAAATAAGGTGTGCAAAGTCTCATCATTCATCTCTCTGGTCATTAGCTGGTGAAGAATTAATACTCTAATTACACATCTCTAATTCTGTCGCTATCAATAGCGAAGATTTAAGAGACTCTTTGCTTGTCATCCCAAATCACTTTAGGGATGAAACTTTGAAGCTTCATGTTAATTCTATGTGATGAATGGCCTGGTAATTACAGTATTTTATCATTTTCCAACAGTGTATGAAGTACAGTGATGGCCTGTCAACAATATGTCAAACACCATGAGAAATATTATGATATTATTTATATCTTTCTCATTTTAACCTGGGCTCTCCTCCCTGGCTGTACTATATAAAGGCAGATCTTACATTCTAAAAGCAGTGCTATTGAACATGGTTTGAATTCATAGAGAGTTAAGCACAGCAAAAAGAAGGGGCAGGGCTGCAGGGTATGGCATTGGAAGCTTGTCTCTTTAGCCTTAATGTGCTTTTCTATTCAAACCTTTCTCCACAAAACAGCTAGAAAATTATAAAATGACATGTTGGAAAAACTGGCAGTGGCTATGAAGAATTGCAGAAGAGCTTATAGCTGACACTACTTTGGATTAATGATCTAGATTTCTATTTACAGGACTGAAAAAAGTGAGAAATGGGAGAAAAAAATATCTGGGTTAACCCTTTGAAAGTGCTTCTCATTGTAAAAACCCATCATCTCCACCATCACTAGCAAAAACAAGTGCTATGGCCATCCACACAGTATTTAAATAGAGACTTACAAATCCTATATAATAAAACCCTAATATGCAAACAGACCGAACAGCAGAATGACCGGCGGGATGACCAATCACTATGATGTGCACTGACCACCAGGGGGCAGATGCTCAGTGCAGGAGCTGCCCCCTGGTGGTCAGTGAGCTCCCACAGGGGGAGGGCCACTCAGCCAGAAGCCGGGCTCATGGCTGGCAAGCGCAGTGGCGGCGGGAGTCTCTCCCGCCTCTGCGGCAGCACTAAGGAGCAGCAAGCAGGTGGGCAGTAAGGAGTGAGGGGTCTCGGACTGTGAGAGGGATCCCAAACTGTGACAGGGATGTCCGCTGCTTAAGTCAGCAGGTGGACATCCCCCGAGGGGTCCCAGACTGCGAGAGGATGCAGGCTGGGCTGAGGGATGCCCCCCCCCCACCCCCCGCAGTGCGCAAATTTCATGCACTGGGCCTCTATTAATAGAATAACTTGGATGACTGTATTTGTTTTAGGGGATTTTATTACACAAAATAAACATCCTTGAGGAAGCTTTACAAAGCAGCTAATCCACACTTATTCACAATGTTTCTCAATTCAATAATTGCTAGCAAAATAATTTTCATGTAACTTTACACACAAAAGGTTAAATTGAAATGTTTATTTAAATACTGAATGTTTACTATAGCTAGCACTTTTATGGAAGTTAGGTCAATCAATGGAATTTAATCTACTGCTGTAATGTGTATTTGTGACAATCGAGGGCATCCATGATGTGGCCAGACAAGAATATCTCTATCACAAGTGAGGACGTCAAATGTCATTTTGTTAATCAGCAATAAAGTTACAGAGTTTTATTTATTTTTAATAGATCAAAATAGACTGAAAATATTCCTCATGATACTGTGATTCTCACCCATTTGTTTTTCAATATTCTTTCTTGAGTGGACGGAAAAGGAGTAAAGTTATAGTTGTTTTTGTGGGCATTGCAATAACCCATAATATGTTATCTGCAGTCCATAAAGACACAGTTACTTATGAACATTAATAATTCTGGCAAATATGTGGCTATTAACCAATTTAGTGACCTTTAAAAGAGTTTAGGCTTGATCGAAATGTACATAAATCCATAGACATATGTTTCACATGTGAATGTATTTCATTGATTTGTATCACAGCAAAGAAAGGTAAGGGCAGAGAATTCTTCCTTAGATACATGAGAAATCGATAGATAGTCATCAAGTCTAGAAATATATGCCCATTGCACATTATTTTATACACATATCAATTCTTTTTACAAGAAACATCTCATTTTTAGTCAGCCCAACAACCTGGAAATAATTCTGTAATCAATGTAAACCATTTTTTAAATCTCAAAATCTCTCTTTAGGGGCTCTTTCACAATTTTAAATCACTAATGCTGCTTAATATGTGTGTGTGGGTAAATATATATATATGTGTATATATATATATATATATATATATATATATATATATATATATATATATATAAAATTTTTAACTCAGCATTCTTATGAGGAAATACTATAGTTGTTAGCACAGTTGAAAGTAGGGTTTCCAGGGAGGAATTCCAGCAGCCGACTGCATGGGCATGTAACTTTTAGGAGCTCTGTGAGGACCAGCCTTCAGGCAGGTGCCTGGAGAGATTGGGGGTGAAGAGAAGAAAAAGGAGGAAAAACCCTAGCTGGATTGGCTCAGTGGATAGAGTGTCAGCCTGTGGACTGAAAGGTCCCAGGTTTGATTCCAGTTGAGGGTACATGCCCGGGGTTACAGGCTCGATCCCCAGTAAGGGGGCGTGCAAGAGGCAGTCAATCGATGATTCTCTATCATTGATGTTTCTATCTTTCCCTATCTCTTCCTCTCTGAATTCAATAAAAATATATTTAAAAAAATAAAAATGAGAAAAAGAGAGAAATCACATCATCGATTGTTAACTTTTCTTTTTTTGCAACCTGCTATGATTTTAATAATCTCAGAAGACAGGGTAAATATTATCTTGGAATTCCCTTTCTGTGCTTTTGTAGTTTCTTTACAAATTTTAAACACCCCCATTTCGCTACAAGCAAATAAGCAAATCACAATTATTAGTATTATTTTTTATATAGTTAATTATGATTCATGGGTATCATATGTTTTGGTTAAATATAAATAAACATTCTACTTTGGAAAAGACAGTGCTACAATCCTGAGACTTGGTTTAAAAGATCTACCATGAAAATAATGTTCTTTATAGAATGAAGGTATCTTTATAGCCTTCCATGGGGCTAGGAAAGGAATAAGGAACAAATGCTTATGTCAGAACAAAGCATGGCCCCTTAAGAATTCTACCCCCGCTCACTACCTATTCTACCTACACATACAATACCAAGAAAGGTGGAAAAATACATTGTGTTATGAAAAACCCAGTCCGCCAAAATACAACAAATGTTTTGGGCCAATATTCTAACACTGCCTTCAGTTATGATCATTAGATGATTATTAAAATACTCTTGAGTTTTCCCTTTCAGTGGCCACAATGCTAAAATTTTAGATGGCTCATTTGCAGCAGGTCTGTGCTAAGAATGGTCTCCAAAAGATGAACACATCCTAAATACTGCTCTCCTTAATATATAAGGGGAGCTTTGAATACCTTAAAAGTTGCTTCTATCTATATGGCAGTGTCCCATAGAGGTTCTTGACTCACTTTACTTATTTTCAAACTAGAGGCCCGGTGACGAAATTCCTGCACAGGTAGGGTCCCTAGGCCTGGCCAGCAATCAGGGTTGATCTGTGGGGTGACCAGCAGGGTGATGGGGGGGGGGACGGCTGGCACCCGCCTTGGCTGGCCTGATGCCACCCACTTGCTGGCCCTGCCCCCTACTACCGCCGCTGGTCTGGGCCTGCGGGCTGGGGGCAGCTCCTGTGTTGAGCGTCTGTCCCAGGGTGGTCAGTGCGTGTCATAGCGACTGGTCGTTCTGCCATTTGGTCGATTTGCATATTAGGGTTTTATTATATAGGATATCCTA